AGGGCATCAACTCATATGCTTTTACATAGAGACAACGCCCTTCTGGCTCTGAACAGACGATATTATAACATGATAGTCAAAGCACAAAGACGGTGGTGTATTTCTTTTCAGTGATTATCATTTATACAATGTTTATAAACCTTGTTATCTTCTTTCCCCTGAAAGGACCAGAACATGGATCTAGGCAGGGATATGTGAGTTTAAATATCCCTGGTCTAGGCAAACAAGTGGTGTCATCACTTTATCGAAAGAATATCCAGCGACTTACAAAAGTAAGCAATATGATTTTTTGTTTTTTTGTTTCGCCAGATGCGGATTTCAAATTGATTGGTAGATTCCTGCAATGTTTATTTAATTTTTATCAGTTTTTTTTTTCATTTTTCTGCCAGCATCTTGAAAGGAAACTTGAGTTCATTTGATAGCTTTTGAATGGCCTGGGTGCATTGGGGAGGTTTACATACTGTGCCAACTTCCATGCTAAAGGTCATGGGGCTCATTATGCATGCATAAATAGCTTCTCAACGCATTCTCATTAGAACTGATGGATGGATTACTATCAAACGTAGGACATGTATGTATCTTGCAAAGCCAATGAACTGAATAGATGTTAGGGTCATGAGGTCAAAGATCAAGGGGTAATACATGTATATGAAAAATAGCTTGTAATCACAATATTCTGGGAACATGTTAATGCATTGAAAAATTGCTCTTTGGCGGAGGCATCATTTTCCGACTGGGTGCAGTCGAAGTACCATCTAGTTATGATTATTTTAATTTTGTTTACAATTATTATTATTGTTATTATTATTATTATTATTATTATTATTATTTATTTGACAAAATTAAGATCTAACAATCCATGTGAGTTTACATATTAGGTAAAAAGCAAGATACAACAAACAATGAATTGCAAGTATATTGAATTCGAGAAAAATATAAAAATAAAAAATTATGCTGCATGATGTACGTCTACATAATCATGCAGGAGGCACGATAGCTCAGTGGTAGAGCAGTGGGCCAGTAACTGGGAGGTCCTGGGTTTGAAACTGAATCGATAAGCTAGTGCTCTTTGGTAAGGCAATAATCCTCATGCACAAGCATCTCAGAGAGAACTTACAGCCGTCGGTCTTCTGGTTGCTTCATTACAAGCATACTCATTTCTAAGCAGTCAGGTAAAAACAAACAACAAAAAACAACAAACAAACAAATATTTCTTTCAAAGAAAGAAAAAAAGAAAGGAGAATACATGTATACATCCTGAACATGAAATAACATTATCCTTACGAGGACGCTGTCCAGCTGGAAACAATTTGCATGTATGTGTAATGTGGATGTTTTTTCTTTAAAATGTGGTTTTTCAATGATTTTTGCAATAATCTGCTTCACAGTGCAGTTAGGCACTAAGAATTATGTGCAGTTTATCATTATGTCTGTTGTGAAAAAAGGCACTGCTTTAACCTAAATTCTTAGATGTTCTACATTACTTTATACTTCTCAGATTCAATAACAATAATTTTTGGAATCATGAAAACTTGCCTTCTTTAATTTTGAGTTTAATCTTCCTTAAAAAAATGGTGACAAATGAAAGAAAAGAATCATATTTTTAGCAATTTTTATTAGAAAAATCTAACACATGTACATGTATGCATGAAATATATTTGTGAACTTTGGAGCCATAACGAATTCTAAGGCGCGCAATGCAGTTGAGTTCAATTGCCACACAAGAGGGCGACATACTAGTGAAGTAGAGGTGAAGATTGAGTTATACAGTAGGGGATATTCATTGTCAGTATTTGTCTTTCTCTTTAGACCTTCCTCACGTTATCTCTGTGTGACATCGCAAGGAGAGTTCATCTACATGCACCGGGTATAGCCACAATCAGGGTGCAACTATTCTACGTACAGTGTTACGCATCTCTCCTGAAAACACAAAGTCATCTAATCAAATGTCTTGTGGCCTGAAATGTTGGACCATATGAGTTCGTCATCAGGCAGCAACTTTCGTTTGACTTTCTTTTGTGTTGGCGGTGTGGGAAAGGTAATAGAGGGCCAAAAATGCCCCTTTTTGGCTGTTACTCATTTGCACTTCAACAATGTCTCTTTTTTCATAAGGTGCTACTGTGGAATTACACAAGATATGCCATATCCTTTCATGCCATCTTATAGTCCTTTTTATCTCCACTCAGTATTTTTTTACGGCTTGAGAATTGACCCAAGAATTGCGATACAGTGGTTATTTCTGTGAAGAGAGACGAGCGTAACGCTTTTTAAAAAAACAGCTATGTGCATAATTTTGCATCTATAATTCATATATTTTAGCACTATATTAATAGGTAATTGGTTATATTTTCTGAGTAACATGTTGTCCTATCATCAGAAACAAAAAATTAAACAAAGATACAAACGTTACAAAAATATATGCCCACATTCCGATCATAAATTGTGTCCGGAATTTCCTGTAGTGTCCGTAACGGTGTAATTCCTGCTATGTGAAAATGTTTTCAAAGTTCTTATATACTTTGATTTGTGCAACTACCCCCGGGGACTAGCTGTGGTATAATAATATTCAGCTAAGCATAACAGTTTTTTTGTTGCAATTTAATGAATGGCATTTGTAGTGTCCGTAACGTATGTAGTGTCCGTAACACAAGTGTGTGATGGTGTTAATGGTGTAAAAATACAGCTTGATAACTAAATACTACTAATTTGTAATTCAAATTTGATTTAATACAGTTGCTCTTCTCAATGAATAAAAAAAATTCTCTTTCCTTGGGAGGTTTTCTCCTGGATATGATATTTCGCAAACAAATAAGCTATTTTCCATTAATTTAATTTTAAAGATAAAAAAAAATGACTTACAAGTAATTTAATATCTATATTTTATTTCAACAATATCAGTTAGATGTAATTAAGTATGAAATTAAATGCATCATTGTGTTTTAGTTTCAATATTGAGGGTAGAAAAGAGTAGGAGCCAGTGTTACGGACACTACAGATATGTGTTACGGACACTACAGGAGGAGTAATATCAAGGCCTGGAAGCCAAACTATACCTCCTTTTCTGGATAACAGTGTTCTAAAATAAATTTTAACAATGTAAAAGCTGTCTATGACATCAAATATGTATGATGCATGAGAAAATACAATATTTTAATCATTTAATTGCCTACTTACAAAATGTATAAGTCACTACATTGTAGTTTATGTCCACACACACATAAACACTTTGGCACACACCAGTACATGTATGACTAGTATCTGCTGAGGACTATGGAAACATACCTTCTTTTGAGGACACCCCCTTTGAGGAGATTTACATATAAATTATGAAATATATCATCGTCTTCGTTTTTGCTCATAATTTCTCTTGATAAAGTAAGCTAACTATTTGATAGAGAGAGAGAAAAAAAATAGACTGAGGTCGCTTTTGACTTCTTTACAGACATTATTATATATATCTGAGGATTTTATGAATACTGGTTTAATTGCCACCACCAATAACGATCACCGAACATCTGAGGATTATCGAATAAACGTATCAGAATTGGTTATTGCGTACACCATAATTTTGCATATAGATTAATTATCACTGTTTTTCGGCGTACACTGTCTAAGGTTTTACAAGTATACCACTTAGTTGGTTGGATTACTCTTCATAAAGTACACACTGTGGTCTTTTTATGACCCCAATTTTTCCAACGCTATTTTAACGAGCTCCTAAAAATGGGTTCTAAACATACTGAATATATCCTGCAGCACGGACGATACAAGGACACAGTGGGAACTTTCTTTTCCAAACATATTGTTTTTTTCGGCCTCACTGAACAAATCTTGTAAGGTCCTATGAGTTCCTTCTCAAAATAATGAAGTACATCGTATTTTTGCATTTTCAAGGGTTTCCATGCTTATGTCTAATAAGAGGCTCACCTTAATTATGCTATACATGATGTACAGTATTATCCTCTTTTTTCTGTTCTTCCTTATTTTATTGTATTGTTCTTCCTTTTCCTTATTTCTGATTCTTATCCTTTTCTTTATTCTTCTTTTTCTTTGGTTAAGTAGTTATCTTTTTTATTCTCTTCTTCCTTCTTTCAATCTTTCCTCATGCTTTCCTTCTTTATATCATTTTTTTTAATGTCTTCTTTCATCTTCCTTAATTGTCTAAATAGTTATGCTTCTTTCATGTTCTTATGACTAAATTAAGCTTCTTTCAAATTTTTAAAGTGAGCAAAGAAGATGGAGAAGAAGAAAACAAAAACACTACAATTGGGCCACCCCTGGAACTACAGAGAACAACTTGTGTTTTCTGTTTGTCAGATTGTTCTGCTTCTATTGAAAGGGTGGACTTCCTAAGTCCTATCCAAGAGACTTGGTAATGAGGATTTGAAAAGATACCCTCTGTTGGCCTCAAGATATTATGCAGCAACAACAATGATGGCAGAAAAAAGCAAATGGATTACTTATATATTGCATCAAAGAATAGCATGTATATGTATAAAATGTAGTGTACGTAACAATGGGGAACATCCTATAGGATTTTGTACATAAGTTATTTTGGACAGCTTATGATATGAAACGAGCCTTCCTAGCAACTTGATTTGTTTTTATATGTATACAGATGGGACTAAAGTTTGTAATTTGTCTCATTTATTAATGTTTGGTTGGCTGTTTAAAAAGTTTCAGGTTTTGAAAAAAAAATGTCATTTTTCAGATTTGACCTTGTGTTACCTCTGAAGTGTATACTGAGTCTAATTTATGGACTGAAGTGAGTGAGAATTGTTTTATTTTTCACAAATGGCCCAAAGATTCCCCAAAGAAGTGCAAAATATTTGAATGTTAAGGTAAATAATGCTAAAGAATTCCATTTCTGTAGCATTGTGTAGTGTCCGTAACACCTACCACCCCCTGTGGTGTTGATGCTCATAAAATGATAACCAAGATAGTTTCCTCAAGGATATTGCAGGGTATTAACCCCAGGGTATGGATGAACAATTTGTCTAGATGAGAAGCTCAAGAGCATGGACCAAGAGATAGCTGTTAACCCGCAATATGTTCAAAAGGTAAAATAGGAAAAAACTTTTTGTTTTTTCCGCTGATCCAAGCTATAGAAAGGCTGTCAATGATGCAAAAAATAGAGATACATGTGCTGCGAAAATGAAAGACAAAATACCATGAACCATACAATTTGGCATCTTCATTATTCCACACTCAGTTCCACTACCAAAAACAAAACAAAAATCATGTGATACTTGCAGGGAAATATGACGGAATCTCCTTAAAATGAATGAAAGGATAAACTATTGAGGGAGATGATTTTGCACTCATGATCTCAGTCGGGATATCCCAGTAGATTAAAAGGCCATGAGACTGACAGCTCACAAGATGTTGGTCTGGCTGGTGGTTGGTCTCATAGACTGTTAGTCTTGTAAAACCTTTGATAACTTTCTGAATTAGGCAGATGAGCTGGTCTGATGGGCTGTATCTTAGTGGGATATAGCCGATCCTTGAAAGGGTATGAGTAGTCATTAGGTGGGGGGGGGGGGTTATTATACGGGTATACTTTTTTGGAGGGGATGGAGATTGGGGATATTGGATGAAACATTGAACGATAGAGCTCCTGGGGGCTAATTTGTCAGGTCATTTTACTCTACTTGTATATCTTGTAATTTGTCACATACAGGCATTTCCATAAATCAGGGGAAACAACTAACTGTTTCATAAACACTACATTCTATAGGTTGACCATAAGACTTAGCCTCCACACTGATGAGAGTGTGATTAGTTTTCATTTCTCAAAATTACTATGCTATAATTATCTCAATCATTACAATTTCCTTTATTGTCTGATGTCTTTCTTTCTTCCGCCCTCTACAGAGCATGGGAGTTCGAGAAGACGATGAAGTGGGCGGAGTCTTTGGAGGGAAATAGGACACACTGTATAGCTAAATGTACATAATCATGATGGATTTGTAAATTGCAGGAAACAGAAGAAGAAAAAAAACACTGCAATTATTTATATATACCAACCCCCTTTTTCAAAACTATCAACATTCAACATTTAACATTTTACTGTACAGAGAGTCAAAGTTGCATTCATGAATTTCATGTATAGTGTGTATTCCTGAAATGAAAAACCCCACATACACATGTAATGTAGTTGCTCACTGCAGTTACACAGAGCTATTTTTGCATCTCAGAGAGTTGACAATGGTTTGGCATGTTTATAAACACAGCTTCTTGAGTATCATGACAACACTTGAGCTTCAATATCATATGAAGATGTATTTCTTCAAGGTGTGTAACAGAAAAAGGTATCAAAATGTGTAGCCTGAATCCTTTGCAATCTTGTCAACTGTTATCATTCAATTCTTCCCCCAAATCCTTCCTAACTCCCCCCCCCCCCCTCCTCTCCATACATTTTGAAAGCAGTGGTACGTAATATGGGTACATATGCCTGACTTTTTTCCATACAGATCTGTACATGTGAATGTATTTCAATTCACTGTCAATTTTAAAACAACACAATTACAGCATATAATATTAAGGTACAGTTCGATGAACATGTTTTTAGAGAGAAATTATGTAGATGTAGATCTATGTGCCAATTGAAAAGGTCTATGTTAATTGCTCGTCCTACCATTTTGTTACTGAGTTGATTTGATTTTTTTTTTTTTTTTTTTTTGGGGGGGGGGGGGATAAGGATTTATTTTTATCAGCTGATCATCAGAAATGATCTCTCATGTTGATTTCTGAGAATAAGAATACACAAAAGGTATCTGAATGAAAAACTGATGGCTCTTTACGAATTTTTGAATGAAAATACTTACACATGTCCAGAATTGTTATTATTTGTATTTGTCACATACTGGACATGTATTGAATGTAACAAGAAAAAACCTGAAAAAGGGAAACATTCAAGCCTAGCCTACTGCCTGGATACACAGGGAAGTACAAGGTGGAAAGTGATTGAGATGAAATCCACAAGTCAAAAAGCATGAGCCAATTCGCTATTTCCGTCACTGAGAATCAAATTGTGCACATCCTACTGTCATTTTAATGTTCATGATTGGCCATTCAATTACAGAACTTTTTGGAACACATATGTACATGTATTTTAAAATCTCTTTTGTGTTACTGACAAGGTGCATTGTGAATGATATAGTTAATGATATTGTATGTTCGGAGCCAGAAGGGTAGTGACTTATATATTGTTAGTGAGTTAACACTATTCTAGATCTAAACAGGCAATGTGCAGGACGTATAGTTTTCCATCAATTTATTTTGAGTTTGAGCTCCAGAGTCAAGTTTCATGACATTTGGTACTGATAACTAGCCACAAGAGTTGATGAGTTTGTAAGCTATTGAAATGCGTTTGATGTATTTGTTGGGAATTTCTGAAACGTGAGGGGAAAGAAGAGACTATTCTGATTCAATTCAAGAAGCAAAGTGGGCAATGACAATAAAAAGATGGGCAAATATTGTTAAAAGTTGAAAAATCCTGGTCCTTTCAAGAGAGGGAGAAACTTATTATTTGATACTTAATAAAGACTCTTATCAATAAATGCCTGTTTGTAGGGAAATGTGAGCTTTATCTTCCTGTAGCCTCTTGTATTATGTCATTTGATATGTTAACCTTTAGCTTACAAGTATTTGAATGAGTCGCATCTTGTTTTCTGATTATTAAAGCTACTTTATTCAACTGCAATTATAACGTACAGATGATGAATATGAAGAAGGGAAAGGATTGAAGGATAATAAATATATGTCACTTTTGTGTGAACACATTTGTGTAAAAAAAAACTGGGTTATTGTTTTATTTGATGTTGGATATGGATAAATGAGAGGATTGTGTAATTTAAAATCTGTCATCATTCTGTTGAAGTGGATCATGATATGCTTTTATTGAGAGAGAATATTAATGAGAAAGAGAGATTTAGGGAAAGAGTATAGTGACTGAGAGAGAGAGAGAGATAAAGAGAGAGGGAATAAGGGGTTATCTGGTTCATGTGTCTGTTGTCATACTATTAGTTGTTTAGCTATTTGTTGTTGAAATATCACAAGCACATAGTGGACCTTAAGAAGATAGCTTTCTTCATTCTACAAAACAGAAGCATTAAAGGAGGAAATGTTGGTAATTGCTTAACATGTATTTTGGAAAATGGAACAAACAGTGCATTCATTGAAAGGGAGTATTGTTTGTTTTTGCTGTGCCCCTGCCTTGTCGGCATGGCTCGAAAGACAAGGAAATGTCTTGCCAATTAAAGTGGGGCTTTCGATAAATACATGTATCTTCCTCACCTCATAACCAAAGCTACATAACCAAAGCTACATACATCAGCAGAAGAGACCACACACTTAAGCTCTCTGTTCCTGAGGCAACCATAGACTCCTATAAGTACTCATTTTACCCCCGCACCATTCGCATCTGGAATCAACTACCATTCACTGCAGTTACTGCCCCAACAGTTGCTGCTTTCCAGATGACCGCCCTCCCTGTCATCAGAGGGTTGGAACCTCCTGTAGGTTCCAGAATGCTGTAAACCATATAGCATCATGATTTTTACTTGCACGTCACTATTTTACTGTATAAAGCAATTGTACACCCTTTTGTTGTCTGCACCTTCACCTGCTGTCACAACACATCCCATCCCAGTATAGCTTGGAAAAGCCGCTTCAGGGATTACCTCATCAAGTATCAAGTATATGCCTTGTATGCCGTATGCATTCGTTATACATAGAATGCTGTATGAGTAGGCCCTATTACGGGCAATCCGACCCTTGTCATGTGTATGAAAGCAGAATAATAAGAGGAAAAGAATGACAAAAGATTGAAATAAATCTTGGAGAGAAATGGCACAGACCATGAACAGATACGTTTTCATATACATAACAACTGTATTAATGTATTAAATGTGTGGAACATGAGAGATCTTACATTTTATGGCAGAATAATTGTTTTGAAAATGTTAGCGGCGTCACAAATTGTATATACCGCAACTTTTGTACCAGTACCAAAACATGTTTCACAGACATTGAACAGACTTTCGTTTCTTATGGAACGCCAAAAAAGATAAAATTTAACGTGATGTAATTATAATTGATGTTGAAAATGGTGGATTGAATATGATTGATATTGCTAGTAAAATATCTTCACTTCGTTTGGCATGGATATCTCGTTTTTTTTTGGTTTTTTTATGATAATGGCTCTTATTGGGAAAATATGTTTAAATACTGGTCCGACAAAATAGGGGGTTTGCCACTATGTTTACATTTCAATTGTAACATAAAGGATATTAATTTATTATTCTCTAAACATAATTTGCCAGAATTCTATGTAGATCTCTTTTGTACTTGGTCAGAACTAAAATTCATTGATATGTTTAAACTAAGAAATATTCCAAATGAAATTATTTGGAAAAATAGTAACATTACCTTTCAAAACAAAATACTGTTTTATTGAGAATGGCAAGAGGCCGGTTTTAATGAAAATTCATAATTTGATTACAAATGGTATTTGGAATGATTCTACAATACTAAATACAAAAGTGAAAGCCCAACAGCTCTTATTTGATTTTAAATATACAAAATTAAAGAAAGCATTTCCACAGTGTTGGTTGGATAGATTAAGTTATGAATTTGAACAAGAATGTAATATTTCGAATATGATAGAAATAGAAACAGGGGATAAAGTGAATGTTTTTGTTATGAAAGTGAAAGGCTACTATCGTTTGTTATTACGTAATAAGTCAAAAGAACCAAATATCATTTACTTTTGGAATTTCTTTTTAGATTTGGATAATGACTTTTTTTGGAACGATGTATTTTTATTTAAATTAAAGCAAATTCGTAATAATAAAGTTAAACAACTTAATTTCAAGATGATTCATAGGTTTATTGCCTCAAAAGAAAACTTATATAAATGGCAAATTGTGAATAATAATTTATGCAACTCTTGTGGACAAGTTTACTCAACTTTTCATTTTATGTTATATTGCAAGGATGTGACTATGTTTTGGAAAATAATATGTAATTTGATATTTAATCTATTCCAAATAGAAATACAAATAGACCAGAAGATAAAAGTTGTAGGAAAGGATATTGGAAACAAGAAATATTCACTTCTGAATATTATTTTAAATTATGCGCAATATGCAATTTATAAATGTTACGTTAAGAAGATTGTTAATGGTTCTGTTTACTACCCACATACTTTGTTTTTTGAATTCAAGTCGTTGCTAAGATTATTTTTAAGATATGAATGTGTTAGCAAAGAAAATAATACTAAGCTGGAAGAATTGTTGAATGTACTTTAATCTTTAACCTACGTTATGTTTCACTCAATTATTGAGTTATTAAAGTACAAATGTATTATTATTATGGAAATAAAAACCTCGCTTGAGGATAAGAGAAAAAAAATATACATAACAACAAATTGTAAACGTAATATTAAAAATGAACAACCAGTCATCAGAAAATTGGAAGCAAAAATCCTTTATTCAGCATTTGTACAGCATGTGGTGAACACCCCAGATGCTTACCTTTTCTTTAAAAAATAGTAAGATGATAAATTAAAAAGTCCATAAGAGAAAAACAAAAAAGCAGTGGATGAGTAGGAAAATGGTAGTATCTCTCCGTTTTTCACAGGCACATATACGAATAGAAGAAGAACAGCTTTGAAAAGCCGAAATAATTCTTTAGTTGGGAAATAGATTTATGTCCAAACGTATTGTGCATATTTTTCAAAAACTTTGTATTATATTAAACATGAAGACTAATTAAATGAATTCTAGATGAAGCCAGAGAAGACGTAACACCAATGCATGTCTGACAACTTAAAATTAGTAATTTTGAATTAGATATTTTAGAAGAAGCGACAGATATCATTTCATAACAACTGCCTCAAAAGATATTAGCAGTGATGTCTTAAAACTTTGAATACATTGAATTGTAAAACATTGTCGAAGCTGAAAACAACTGTTACATTTTGTATACAAGAACATAATGAAAAGAAACCTCTGTTGAAAATTTGTTTGACTGTCAATAGATTTTTCAAATTTCTAAACTTATGGTACATACTTTTCAAAAACTTTGAATTTATTAAACATGAAGACATATTATTTATTATTTAAATGAAGGCAAAAAAACTGAAACATCAATGCATGTCCGAAAACTTAATTATAGTAACATTTGATTTGATTTATCGGTTTCTGCATCTTTTTTATTTTTTTCATCATACATTTTCATGAACAATAATATGGTTTGATACAATATTTTAAGTGTATATAATTTTATACAGATAATAAACGAAATTAAACAAATATTGTGAATGCATAATTAACATACATTAGAGGCAGGAAGGCTACAGAGATAAGAAAAGTAGCTTGATGTATCCTCAGCCCTCAACTTACATACAACAATACAAAATACCAAAGTAAATGGTGATCCCGTATATGCAGTTCCCGATTACGCGGTTCATTATTATGTACCAATTTTACAAATTAGATCAAACAATCAATGCATTTTTTTTTAAAATACATCTATATACAAAAAACATTATTTAAAAAATGTAAAGAAATAATTGTTAGTAATCGATAACAATACTTAATAACACAAACAAACACTTTGATAGAGAAGTGTTGCATGCATGTTTTTGAAAAAAGTCACAATATATTTACATTTACACACAATTTATATATAGATGATGCACCATCCCTTCAAGGATCGTTGGTAATGGCATTGTGCTGTACAAAATAAATAGCAAAATTAAAAAAAAAATGTATCTAAATAATTGTTAGTATTGTTAGTAATTGTTTATAGATACCTCAGTCACTCTGTTCAACTGACACTAAACCGATTCAAAACAGACCATTCATTATTTTTTTTTAAATCTTCAGTATACCATTCTTATTGCTTATGTTTATCTTGTTAGTGTGAATTGTGGTATTTTGGAGATAAAAAGAAAACATTGCATTTTAGAAAATCTATTTTTACCTCACAAAACGAACACACTTTTTAATTTGTTTATACATACTGATTTAGACATTTTGAAGACGATCGGCCTCCTACAAAGATGACAAACAGATCAGTATAAGTCATGCAGTTTCCTTTTCGAAAAAAAAGGTGAAGACGACCTAATGTTGCTGAAAAGCAAAAAAACAATTAAACTCTCTTGTCACAGTTTTGGGCACACGGAACTGCACACACATGTGGCATCACAATTTGGTCCTTCCTTTGAAGTTGCCAATTATTTCTTCTTATACAATGTATGTGATACATGAAATCATTTAAAGTGACATCTTTTCACAGGACATGAATATTATTTTCTTCTTCCAAATTGTGGTTTAAAGAAAGAGATGCTCACAACTTTTCTTTCTCACCCAATGGCTACTGAATCTTCTCATGCCCGAATGTTTAATAAATGAACCACCCTGTTCAGGTTGGCAGTTGATTAACGTCAGATACACAGACATGTAATGTTTAAACTGTAAATCTTCATTCAACTAAATACGCTTGACAATTTTTTTTCTCGGCCAAAATATTTTTTTCAGGATTTGCATGGCTGACTTGGTATAACAAACAAAAAAACATTGACTGCGAATGTGGGGGTCTTGATTAAACCTGTCACCCTCGGTGATCTTGAGACATGTAACTCTATGCGCCTTGGTTATTGTCTCGGGGCATAGCTTAAATGTTAAGACATCCTCAAGCAATAATTTCAAAATAGTCAATATTCGTATAATATAAAAAAAGGGGATTTGTTAGCGAGTATTCTATTTGCTG